CTCAGTGAGTTGGGGGGGGGGCTTTCTGGCCCCTCCTTTTTTTAATATCTAATACTTTTACATGCTGCTAGTGAGAGAACCTGTTGTTAAAGTATTTGAATCCCACCACTGCCCCCACGGCTGAAAGGGGCGAGCATGTTTGGTGGGACAAGGATTCGAACCCACGACCCGCAGATTGCGAGTGGAGCCCCCTACCCACCTGGCCATGCTGGGCCAATATTTATAATGATTAAAATGATAAGAGAAAAATGTTTAGCATAGGAAGTGGAAATTTAAACTCATTTACAATAATATTAAAAATATTACGATATATTTTTGTGCATGAAAATATAATTGAATGAACAAAATTCAAAATATGAATTGTACATCAAAATAGTAAATGTACATTCAAAGAGTTCATTACGGTAATATGATAGAATTAAGGCTACAAATCTTGAAAGACTGTAAAATTGTCATTATATTTTTTATTTAAACTAACAGCTTAATAATGTGATGTTTATACTGTATTTTATTGAATGGTACTTTTAATAAAAGTTTGTAACTGAATAAACTTGTTGGAAAGGAATTAACACATATGAATATAGATTTATAAATAAATGTTTTGTTGTTGAATAATTTAAATCTAATCGTGAAAAAAGCAACCAATACGATGTTTCTTCGCAGAATAGTCCATTTTTACACTCACGAGAAATATAACTCATATGCATATAATGTATTTCCATTTCAACTTGAAAATACTTGTATCAAAAAATAATAATAATTATAAACTGTCTTACACTTCCGCCATCTTTCGATATATTTTTCAACTAAACCCAATTTCTAATAAATATTTCAAACTATTCTTTTAGGGATAAAAAAGAATGGATTGTGGAAAAGTTTTGACAATAGCATTTAAATAAAAACATGTAATCTTAGAGCTAAAAGTGAATGAATATGCAAGTCTTTCATTGTTTATTTTTCACCTAAAAAAAATCCCATTAATTTTAGAAACAATTGGTTGTGTTGTTATGAAAACTCAAATTCTCATGCCAAACATCCCATTCTTCTTGAATTCAATTCAATTATTTTTGTTACCTGGTGGGCAGTCACAAGTAAAACTCGCGACTCCATCGATACAAGTAGCGCCACTTCGGCATGGTTGACTAAGGCAATCGTCATCATTCAGTTCACACTTCCTACCGGAAAAGCCAATTGGACAGAGACATCGAAAACCGTTGATTCGATCGCTACAAATACCCTCATTAAAACAAGGATTTGGATAGCACTCATCAACATCTAGCTCACAACGATCTCCGCTGTATCCTGGGAAATATATCAAGGTTCACATTTATTCATTACCGTGAAAGAACAAATGGGCAAAATCAACTATTCTATCTTTTGATAATCTTTACCATCGCTGACTCCAAAATGTATTACTTCATATTCCTATTTTATGTTAAACAAGAGAATATTTTTAAGTGGCAAAATCTGATAACTCAAGCAACAATCCATCAGCCCTGCTGGTATTGACCACAATAATACTATACTATAATGGTAACAAGATAAGATAATGGATCACCTTTAACCCTCTCAGGTGCTGACCACGATAATGCAGTAACGTAAAGGTCTGTATTTCTGATGTATCGGTAAAAGTTTAATTTCACAACTGACACGTTTAAAACAGAATGCCCACATGTATGTTATGCTGTTTTGTTGTTAAATTTCGCGCAAAGCTACTTGATGGCTATCTGTCTTCAATTTTCAAATGATAGATCGGAGAGAAAGCAGCTAGTTAACATCACCTCGTGCTAGTCAACACAATATATATATTTTATATATATATCTGGAGTATAAAGGTTGTTTTTCTAAACTTTTTATCAAAGTATTTTCAACTGACAAAATTTATAAGGTGGCCAAAACAGTAACCCCAATGTTTCCTAACAAAATAATTGAACTGTATTGTTATTTTGTTGTTGTTTTTTTTTAGAGCAAAACAACACTGGGCCATCGAAACCCTGATTTTAGCGTCGTAAGTCTGTAAATTAATCGCTGTTCCATCGGAAAACAATTGACTTGTAGCAATAAATAAAAAAAAATTCTTTATGATATCTGCAATCAGTTTGTTTAATAATCAAAGTTTGGTTTGAGACGTGATGCCGCTGAGCACGTTCCGTATTTTCAGTTGTGGTCTCATCACAAAATAATGTGACGGTCAATCCTGTTATTTGTATCAAAGGACCGACCAAAGTCCTTGTGGTGAGCGTGTTCTGCTGACTGGCTAGCTTACCTTCCCTCTGATCAAAAGATCAAAATTAGAGACAACTATGACCGAAACTTATAGGAGGCACTTAGACGTAGTAGTTTAGTGCACGTATGCACAAAGGTGTCGTTCGGGTTGAAAAAAAATTCAGATTCCAAATCTTGAATGAGACAAAATTTGCTTTATACATATTTTGGATTTGTCAAATGTATACAAATACACTAACAATACGATATACCAATATAACTACCGCACTTATGTAACTGATAATTATTATCAAATATCTGCGTCATCTATTATTGTATTGCGTTGCGTTACAATGCCTGTGATTGTTAGCTGTTTTCTGAGGTTCGTTAACGTTAAAGGGTAAGTCGAATAACGCTGTCGATGCGATAAATTTTTAATCGATAACGTGAAAAGTTGGTCACATAAGTTAGAAGTCAGTCCGCTAAAGTCAGAAGTTGGTCCTATAAAATCAGAAATAGTCCGGATAATGTCAGAAACCGGACCAACAATTGCTTCTCTCAACTGTAAATTTATTGAAATCTCCGCCCGTATTTTGCGACCTTCTGTGGTATTCTTAACAAACTCATTCTTTCTGCTAGAGAGATATTGACCTCACGTTGATTTGACCTCACGTTGATCTCAGTTACAAATTTCCTTTGGGAAAACAGATCGCCATCGTTCCCTGAGGCGCGTGTAACATGGCAGCCCGGGTGGTGGGGACCGTCACGAGGAGTGGTTCTCACAGGGTGCGTGAAAGCATCTAGTAGAACGAGTTTTATCCCCACACCCTCCTTGCCTACATGCATGAAGCGGCTTTTCTTTATCCAACGCTTGTTATTCAGGTAGCAAGTTAAAGAAGCAGATTTTATTCAAGGAAAATCTAATTTCTTGAGCGTGAAAAAAAAAAGATTTTCTCTCAAAAACTATTTAAAATTTTCATTAAATGAAAAGCTGACTAAGATTATTTGACACTTTGTTCCCTTAGCAACTCATACATTTTAACTTAATACGATTTTTTTAATAGCAGGAGCATAAATATTTACGATGGTGTGTTACACGTGTAACAACTCTTATAATAGCTACTTCTTACATACTTGAAACCGTAATAATACAAGCATTACTGTTAGAAACAAGAACAAAAATTTATAAATTTACACCACTAGAGGGATTTTCTGAAAGGAAGGAAATCTCTTTACGTTTTTTAGGTAATAAAGCTATTACAGAGATTGTGTGGTCTTCCTTTAAGTAATGATGGCTGATCTTTTTACCTTAAGTGAAATAATTAAGAACCGATCTCATAAAGTACATATTGCAACCTATTTGATAGAATTTGAATAATATAGAGTCCGAATTCTAAACCTTTCCTGACTCCAATGAAAGGCGGTGCTATATTTATATAATCAAAAGACGTCATTTCCGCTTCCCTCTTAATGTGGCTTATTATATAAATTTGGTGAGACCATAAAACTAAAAAGTCCGATTAAAATTACGACAAATGGCTGAATGCTTTGAGGATTTACAATCGGCTGGGTGCTTGAGTATTTACTACATAGGGGGACATTTGCTAGTCTCGAAACACTTATATTTGTTCAACAGAGAACCCCTGAGAACGACAAAATGGATAAGTTGTTCACTGAATACCGTGCTTCAAATCCGTATTTCTGGATATAGTAGTTTGTTCTCCTGACATTTGTGCCCTTCGTTCAATGTTGGTAAGTAGACACCTACCGACAGAAAATCATATTTATCTCTAGTTTTATAAATCCTGCTATATATGCTGATGACACGAAAAAAAAAAAGTTATAATTAACCTAGCAACGAGTAACAAAAACAGGGCATGGGCCCAAATATATTATATACATACCATCACAAAACCCACTCTCACTCGTACGTGTAAACTTCTGACATTTAATAAATCAAACACGTGTTATTACACCACTTGTATTATATAGCAGTATTTTACACGAAACAAATATATTGTTACAGCTTGACACTCTCTCGTCTTCTATTCCTTCGGTCGCAATGAAATAACATTAATTGGACAAAAGGTCACATTCATTTCTTCTGGAAAATAGTTTTACCTCACATTATATATTATTAGGGTACAATAATGTACAAACTAAAACTATCCTCTAATGCACGACTTATCCAACTGTTTCAGGGATGATGGTTTCGTCACGGCAGCTAAACCAGGCCTAACTGCATTAACCCACACCTTTATGCCTAATCTTCACCAAATCGCTGGCCGATTAACAATGCCAGATCTTTAAGGGTATGTCACGCTATCTCTAATTGGTTATTCCATGCAGGTCCTTGCCCTCCAACGAATCTCGATAATCGTCATCAGTGTTATTGTCCTTTTTGAAGCGTGAGGTTGTTTGTATATACAATCGAGAAACCATGTTGGCCAGTCCCTCCAACTGTTACACGCGAATTTTTTTTTTTGCTGTCATTTTATAAGTTATATTGCGTTCAATTTGTTGGTAAGTTTTGGATAAGCATTTGGTATACAGCCTTTACTAGTGTGTAGGCTGGTAATTCAATCAGAGAAATCGTGTTAACAGTACAAAGACTTATGATATATATATATATATATATATATAAAGCTGACGTTTCAAATAAAATTTTACTCGTTGTGTCAGTGACTTAGCTTCTTCAAAAAAAACAAAAAAAACGGCTAATTATCATTCTCTAAAAAACTGCCCCCTAGTGGGCAGATCACAGATAGCCCTCGTGTAGCTTTGTGCATAATTAAAAAAACAAACAAACTAAGAAAACTTTATATTTCACATTCATTGCGAAATATTATGTACGATCGTGGTAGCTGTGGTGAAACGTTTTTATTCAGTGATTCTAGTTCATCTTATCTGTATGGTCGATTATATTAATTGTTCCTACAATTTGGGTACAAAACCGTGACGTTTGTCGTTCTAGCAAGAACACCTTCATGACGAAATAAAAAGTTTGTTTATTTTTGTAATTCGCGCAGTGCTACACGAGGGCTATCTGCGTTTTCCGTCCCTAATTTAGAGGAGATAGACTAGAACTAAGAAAGCTAATCAACAACACCCACCGACAACTCTTGGGCTACTATTTTACCAACGAAAAGTGGGATTGACCGTCACTTATAACACTTACACGGATGGAAGGGCTAGCATGTTCAGTGAGGGGTATTCAAACCCGCAACCCTTAGATTGCGAGTCAGGCACCATAATCACTAGGCCATGCCAAGTCTAAAAGGGTAAAGTCAGCTATACTTCAAACAAGAGAAGGCAACTGGAGTGAATGCGACCTATTAAGACTTTTAGTCTTTTGACGAAAGTAAAAAAAAATGTGTTTATTTGTAGTCAGAACCGCTATACTGATTTAACTTTGCTAAATTAGGCCCTACCGTATCCAGGTGGTTTGATAAAATCGCTTATGGTTGCTATGGGCCCTACCGTATCCAGGTGGTTTGATAAAATCGCTTATGGTTGCTAAGGGCCCTACCGTATCCAGGTGGTTTGATAAAATCGCTTATGGTTGCTTAGTTTTCTTACGAAAATATACAACCCATCAATCACTGGAACTTACTTCTTTGGTTCAAAGGTCACAGAGACCAATCCATAGCTGGATATAATTCTTGCAAGTGAGCCAGTTAAACAAATTCTTGATGGTCACGTGACTATCAACGTTACTGACAAATTTCCAGCAAAAGCGAAATGGTGCTGTTACGTAAAAATGTTCACGCTCAGTGAATTCTACCATTATTTTGTATGTGCAAAAATGTACAATACACGAGAACTTACTTCGTACGCGCAACCAGCGCGCGTGCACTTTTCAGAATGATGCACCAAACGTTAATTGCTATGAATCCAGATAAAAGACAATTTATAAATAGTCAGGCTGCTAATGCTGACGCATAAATATTTTCGTTTGAAAACTTATGGTATTTTTTATGTTTTTGTCAATCATACTGGTCAAATACACATGCACGGTGTACAACTGAAAGCATTAAAATGCACAATATGTGTTCGCAATGTTTATATAACCAATCATGTACTTACTGTTTAGATAACCAATCATGTAGTTGATGACTGATATTACAAACAAGGTAATATTCTGGCCATCTTTCAAACCAAACGAAGCCTCGAAAGACTTGTCAGTGTACAAAGGCAAGCAGTTAAACTCAACTCAATCGATTAAGACAAACACGTCTAGAGTGGGACAGAAATATAGACGATGGCCAATCAACTTCACGGAGACAAACACGTCTAGAGTGGGACAAAAATATAGACGATGGCCAATAAACTTCACGGAGACAAACACGTCTAGAGTGGGACAAAATATATAGACAGTGGCCAATCAACTTTACTGAGACAAACAGGTCTAGAGTGGGACAAAAATATAGACGATGGCCAATCAACTTCACGGAGACAAACACGTCTAGAGTGGGACAAAATATATATAGACGATGGCCAATCAACTTCACTGAAACAAACGCGTCTAGAGTGGGACAAAAAATATAGACGATAGCCAATCAACTTCACTGAGACAAACACGTCTAGAATGAATAAAATCATGAAACGTCAGGTAATCAATTTAATTGATACAACAAACACTATATCGAAAACTAAAGTTTGTTCACAGAAGACGCACACTTTATTTATTAATAGAATATATTTGTTTTATTCGTAAGTTGCAAAAAATATTTTTTCCTTCGAATCTCGTTAAGAAGCTGTTTTGCTAACCTTAAAATAAGTACAAAAGCCAAGGCTAGCGTTAAAAATAAAACTTACTCGGCAAAATTACGCGCCTTTTGGTGTAACCGTAAAACATCTACTGATAGATAAACACATACCTGGCATGCACACGCACCGGAATCCGCCTCTTTCATCCAAACATGTTCCATCGTTTTGGCAAGGACTAGACTCACATTCGTTAATATTAAGTTCACATCGAGGTCCAGCAAAACCTTTGGAACAATTACACGTAAAGGACCCTGGAGTGTTGACACATATACCCCCATGTTCACATGGTGAACCTGCGTAGAAAATAATACAATTATCCGAATTTATTACATAAGTACAGCTTAAAATGAAAAAAAAAAAGTCAAGAATAATTTGATTTTATGATGCATATTTGATAAAAGATATCAGTCTATTGTGTTTAATATCTTTAATGATATTCATATATGAGTTCCAAATATGTTATAGTATGCTATCAAATAATTTCTAGAGCCGGCATATTGCAATCAGAAATGCTTGAAGTGAGAATTTACTTTTTCATGATGCTAGTGAACATGCTTATAAAGTGACAGTTTACTTTTTCATGATGCTAATGAACTTGCTTATAAAGTGACAGTTAACTTTTTCATGATGCTAGTGAACATGCTTATAAAGTGACAGTTTACTTTTTCATGATGCTAATGAACTTGCTTATAAAGTGACAGTTACCTTTTTCATGATGCTAGTGAACATGCTTATAAAGTGACAGTTTACTTTTTCATGATGCTAATGAACATGCTTATAAAGTTTTTTGTAATTGTTGACAGTTTACTTTTTCATGATGCTAATGAACGTGCTTATAAAGTTTTTTTGTACTTGTTG